ATCCCCCATAATCAGCTTGTGACTCCAGGGAACTCAGCTTTGCCTAGTACCGTCCTGGTCACAGGGTATCTGGGCCCAGAGCTCTGCTTCAGCACCAAGGGCACAGGCATCCAGTCCCCAGCAGGCTGGCAGTGCTGGGGAGGCTGGGAACAAAGGGTGAAGTGTGCAGCATTAACCCCCACCTCACTCCAGTGGAGAGGTGACAAAGCCACTCAGTCCACTGACCAGTGTCCTGGGATAGCAGAGGCTGGAAGGCTCCTGGGTGCACTCCTGAACTAGGCAAGGCTGTCCAAGCTGGCAGGCACAGCCCTGACCGCCAAAACAAACCTCCAATTGTTACCTCCCTCTGTAGCAGGGGTGGAGCGGAACCCTGGGCCCTGCCATCTAGCCGCACCAGGGAGCTGGGAACTGATGCATAAACATTGGGATTTTGTATTGACTGAGCAGGCAGGCTCCCTTCCTGCTGGAACCTGGGCAGAATGCAGGCAGTGTTTACCTGCTTGTGACCTGGGAACCTCCTGTTAGTTTGTTTCTTCTGCTATAAAAGGGAATTATGTATCATTTTAGGTCAAGTTGTAGTTTTGTTTTGTTTTAAATTACAGAGCAATGGAGCAAACCATAGCGAAGCATAAAAGTAAAGGAGTAACTTCACAGACCTTCTTTTGTACATATGCATGCTTACAGAAGTAATGCATATGTAATTGGATCATACTTGACATAATTTTTTGCAGCCCATCCCTGTTCCCTACCCAATCCCTTAGAGGTAACTATTTCCAGTATTTCTCTGTGTATACAAGCAAGTGCCCCTGTCCTTGCACAAAATGTACATTCTATACATTGTTTTGTGCCTTTCTTTTTTCTCTTAACAATCTATCCTGGGGCTCTTTCTGTATTCCGTATATTCAGATGTGTTGCATTCTTCCCAATAACTGTATAATATTCCATTACGGGCGTGCCCCACCATAATTAAGAAATAGCACGCATACCCCATCACTCTCTTTACACCACTTATCACCTGATGTATGTATTTATTTTCTGACTCTGGCCCCCAACTAAAATAACAAGTTCCAGGATGGCAGGGGTTTAGTTTGATTCATTGCTGAGACCGCATTGACTAGGAAAGCATTGACAGCATGGACTCAGGTATGTACTTAAGAACAGAATTTATTCTTAGAAAATGTCTTTTATGCAAGGTGGGATGAGCTGGAACTTCTCTCCAGAGAGTGACACAGACCCTCTGCATACACCTCTGCCTGTTCTTACCTTATGCCATCCAGATGATGCCAATTTACGGTGACCATGTGCTACAGAACAGAATTCTGTATTCGATTTTATTCTATGCTCCATAAGGTTTTCTTGGTTATAATCTATACAAAAGCAAATCACCAGGACTTTCTTCCATGGTGCTGCTGGGTGAGTTACCAGCTGAGTGCAAAACGTTTGCAACATCCAGGGACCATGCCTGTCACCATAATCCTATCAACTTAATTTCATCATAGTTGAATCTGTACTTGTTTCACCGCTGAACCTCCTCAGGGGTGTCAGCCAAGCCTGGGCTTGTGTCAGGTGTTAGATCCTGACCCAGGGCCTGAACATAGCCTAGGGAGCCAATGGCTTGCGTATTTCTGAAGGAGGATTTATTTTTGCCTGGAAGGCTTTGAAAATCTTGGACAGTTCATGTGTTCGGTTTGTCCCTAGCAGCTTAGGTAACCTGGTTGGCAGAGGTCATCAAACTCTATAAAAGACCCAATAGTAAATGTTAGCAGCTTATGGTCACTGAAATTTGGATTTGATATCATCAAAATATTGAGGGGAGGGGTTAACCACTTAAAAATGTATAACCCATTCTTAGGTGACTGGCTGGATTTGACGCACAAGGCTATGGTTTGCCAACCTCCAGCTTAGAATTAAATCCGTCCCAGTGTCCAAAAGGTGCCTGGGCTCAAGCTGTCTTGGCTCAGGTTTGGCAAGTTCAGGGTTGCTGAAATGGAATCTGACCTATATAGAAAACACCAGGTAGAAATCTTGTTTCCTTCAGGGACTATTACCCGGAAGTAGGGGGGAGGAGGACATGAGCAGGAAGGGAATCTAGCATCAGATCCTCCTCCCCAACTTGAAGTTTCATAGAAGCCTAAAGCCCCTACTTTTCTCTCTCTGAGCAGCTCATTTGTTCATCGGTGAAGTGGGAGCAGTCTCTCTCCAGAGTATACCTGTTGTTGGGTGCTGTCGTGTCAATACCAACTCATAGCAAGCCTTGTGACACAGTAGAACTGACCCAGAAGGGTTTCTTGGCTATAATCTTTAAGGAAACATATCACCAGGTCTTTCATGGAGTTACTGGGTGGATTTGAACTGCCTACCTTTTGGTAGCAGCCGAGCACTTAAGTGTTAGCACCATGTTGTTGTTAAGTGCCATTGAGTCAATTCCGACCCATAGTGATAGGAGCTCTGGTAGCGTAGTGGCTACGAATCGGGCTGTGAACTTCAAGATCAGCAGTTCGAAACTACCAGCCGCTCCGCAGGAGAAAGATGAGGCTTTCTACTCCTGTAAAGATTTACACCCTCGGAAACCCTGTACAGGGTCGCTATGGGTCGGAACCGACTCAACGGCACTTAACAACAACAACATAGGGTTTCCAAGGAGCAGCTGATGAGCTTGAACCACTGACCGTGTAGTTCAAACTGACCTTGCGGTCCAGCACATTATCCAATCACCACACCAGGACTCTCCACCGCGCGCTTTAAAGCTATGTCTACAGTCCTGGTTAATGCACCAGACTGCAAAGCCGTTTGAACTGCAAGTTCGGTAGTTCAAGCTCACCAGCTGCTCCTGTACAGGGTTGCTATGGATTGGAACCGGCTCGCAGGTACATAACAACAACAGGGCTTAAATCAGGCTGTGTGAGCAGCTCTTGACTGGTGCTGATAAATGCAGCAGCTCCTTCCTTTCATCTCTGGTTTAAAGATCCATGAGCACACCTTCATCTTTCAGGTTCCCCAAGGGCCATTGGGTGGCTGGGTCATGCAGAAGTCCTGTCCCCATGGCAGTCCTGAAGGACATGGGCTCGGGAGGAAATACCTGAGGTCACCCAAAGAGAAAGATCAACCTTTGGATGGTTAAA